TAATTGTTCTAAACTTTGTTTATAAGCTTCTAATTCTTCTCCACTAGCTTCAAAGAATTTTGTTTCTAATTCTTCTATAACATAAGCTGGTAAATGTGGTTCAATTGAGACATAAGATTCTTTTTTATGATTCAAATCTTTAAATTTTGATTCAATTTATTTGTATAAGATTTTTGGTCATATCTTAATATTATTATTAAGAATTTCTAGATTTGATTCCATATTCTTAACATGAGTTATGATATCTTGATTTAAAATATCTGTTTTTCCTAAAGGCTGAGTATAGTTATTATATTGTTCTAAAAATTGATTTATTATAATATTTTATTCTTCATATTCGGGAGATTTATTTACCAAAATTTGTAATACTTTGTTTTTTATTTCAACTAATTGTTGAGAGTTATTAATTTGTTTTATCTCTCCACTTAGATATTTAAATTTGGTACTTAAATTTGTTGCTAATTCTTGTAATTTAATTCCATTAGGTCTAGTTAATATATTAATATTTTGTAATTTTTCTAAAATCATTTTATCTTTTCTATTCATCTTAGAATATATTTCTAAAGTTCTAAAAATTTTCTTCAATTTCGTTACTAGGCTCTGATATCAATTTGGGGTAAAAATGCTAAAATAGTTAAAACACACGACTAAGGGTATAATAGACAAAATACTCATAAAATGATAAAACTATGTCAAAAGTAATGTAATGGGTAATGTACAAATAACTTATTCCTTCTTTTTTTATTTTTTGGGTGATGAGTAGCGGGGCCCGGAACTGTCGGTGACAGTATGTTAAGCTGTCATAAATCTCTTCTCGATTACTGAAGTACGCATCTTTAAGCAGAGAGAGAAGTCAAGAGATCTAGATCTGGGAAGTGGGTATCAAACTGAAGTTGAACTTCAATGGCTTCCAAACTATTGATCGTTATTGTCTTAATTCTTGATCTTATTGCTTTTGGTTTAGCCGTTGCTGCTGAGCAGAGACGCAGCACTGTGAGTACTCTCTTAATTCATTGTTATTTCTCTTAATTTCTTCTGTAGATTCAAGAAATTATTAGTTCAATGACATGGGATATACTGAAAGATTAAACTTGTGGTTATTTAGATTTATTAAGGAAATTAATTGCACAGAAGTATTCGATTTGTTGCTCAAATGGTCTGGGGATTCTTAAAAAGCCAGTAGTTTCCTTAATAAATGAATTTATTCGACATGAGTTTGGAGTTTTATATTTTCCTCTCGAATTTGTTCAAGTGTGTGGAATATATTAACAGGAACATCTACCCTTGAATGAACGAAGATTGAACTCTGATGCTCATTGTAATTCTCTTATATATGTATTGATTTTTGGCTGACTAGCATCTAGTCTCTGTTGACAAGTCTCCATAATTTTCTAACTACGACTTTTTACTCAATTCAATGGTCAAGGATGTGGAAAGCAGGGTAAACTTTCTTATATGGATTCTAAAGTCTCGTGCTTATATGGTGTTTGATTTTTAAGTAAAACGCGGCACGGCCATGATCCAACGCCAAGCACAAAGTAAAGGAGCTTGGCCGAAACCCTGAACAGATAAAATACTCCATATTTTCCCAATTTCCGGGGCAAAGACATGCATGAACAGACAAGAAAAGGAAGAAGTACTTCAAACCAGTGGCAGCGTAACTCCAAATCACATTACACACATTTAATTAAGCTGAAAATCAATGTCAAAACCTTTACACGCCCAGAGTCCAAATGAAGAACGGCCCCATAAAATTGAATCCTGGATAGGATACAAAGTTGCAAAAAAAATAAAAATAAAAAAATTCCAGTGTGAGCGTGTGTGGGTGCTTGCATGCATCTGTAAGTTTATTTCCATTGTTTGATGCAGATTTTATAGAATTCACAGTGCAATAGGAAATCCATTTGTTTTGAAGCAGTTTCTTGAACTAAACTTGGGGCTTTGGCTCTATTTCATGGTTGTTAGTGCAGAGCTTCAGCTTGATATTAGTAGTACTAATTTTGACTCTTCCTAATAATAATATTTGAATGGTATGATTGTTGATAGGGCACAACAAAGCAGGATGGCGAAGATAATTACCAGTATTGTGTTTACGACTCTGATATTGCAACTGGATTTGGTGTCGGTGCATTTTTGTTCCTCTTGGCCAGTCAAGTGGTCATAATGGTTGCAAGTAGATGCTTCTGCTGTGGAAAGGCTCTAAACCCAGGAGGTTCAAGGGCTTGCGCACTTCTTCTTTTCATAATCTGCTGGTATATAATATATCCTTCCATTTGGCAAAATTGCAATACTTTCAAAGTGTCATTCTTCTGCTTCACGTTATTGATGTTACATTTATGGGTTGTACTACATGTACACCAAATTCATTACATAATGGATTACACCCCCTCACATAGAGGGGGCCCACGAATATTTTATTGTGTGTGGGCCCCCCTCCCCTCCATGTGAGGGGGGTGTAATCCATTATGTAATGGATTGTGTACATATAGACTAATCCTACATTTATTGTCAACCTACAAAGTCTTCCTTCTAACGCACAATAAAATTCAGAATTCTAAAGTTGGTAATTCTCACTCAGGGTAACATTCTTCATTGCTGAGGTTTGCTTGCTGGCGGGTTCAGTGAGAAATGCTTACCACACCAAGTACAGGTCAAAGTTTTTTGAGGACCCTCCCTCTTGCGAGACTGTGAGGAAGGGAGTTTTTGCAGCAGGAGCAGCTTTCGTGTTTGTCACTTGCATAATCTCCGAGTTCTATTATGTTAGTTTTTCCAGGGCGAATGGAAGCTCCAGACCATATGGAGGTGAAACGGGAGTTGGGATGGGAGCGTACAAGTGAATGTTATTGAATTAGTTTGCTGCTGTTTTAAACTTACTCGTCATATCTGTTTTTCCATTTGAAGTTCATTTTATTATAGGAGCCTAGTTCAGTTGAAGAAGGAAAGCATGGACTTTTACACTTGTATCATAATTTTTATTTTTGCTTGCCCTCGTAATGGACTTCTTTGATGTGGATATGTTTTTCGCTATGAATCTATTGTTTTGTTACTCTGTTGAAAACTCGAGCACAAGGTATCTATAGTTAAGATTTTAGATGATAAGGTTGCATGCTATTTCACGATTGTAAAGAGCTCGTGTTTGACGACTATTTTTGTGCTGTGAGTCTTCAGATTTGATACAATTTGGTCTCAAATTAGAGGTACGCCAATTTATGGTGGTTGATCCTATAATACCAATCTGTTCTGAATTTGTCACTGCATGAGACGATTATGTTCGTATCCAAAGATGTATAGAGATGTTAGTGATCAAGGAAAAACACTGGTCAACCCGACCCTACACTTTGTCCGGGATAGAGACCTCATTCACTTGAAAGAGGCCTTCATCCGATTAGTTAACATCTCGCCCATGGACCTGATCCCTGAGGACTGTACTGCCCTTTCCTGTCGTACTCTAATCTGGACCTTGTTAGGGGCCGAGTGTTTTCGACCATTGGCGTTCTCCTACTTCAAGTGGACTTCTACGTTGGTCCAGCCTTGACCTTATCTTTATCCAAAGAAGCCTAGTTCTTCTGCTGTTAAGATACTTGTTGGAATTTCATGTCATTTGTGACATTAGTTTCTAACCTCTTTGGGGCAATGATGAAATAGGCTAAGCCCAACTGTCGAAAGTTTTTGAAGAAAAAACATTGCCCGATAACACACAAGGACTGGCCCAAAATACTCGGCCCAATCTCACTGCCACTTGGACTTGCTCTGACCATTGGATGGAGATTAGATCTATGGTGATGGCTTTGTGTATTTATACCAGCTAAACCGCCTTTTGAGCCCTAATCTTCTCATTCGTGTCTTCTTGGTTTCTCTGTGAAATGTATGGGTTCTTTCTGCCTTCAGTTTCTTTGTGATTCTTCCTTCCTTTTTATGTAATACTTAATGTATGATTAAAACTCTTGGTTTTAATCTTCAATCTTGGTGATTGTGTGCCTTCGTGACTGAGGAGAGGTATTCTATAGTTGGCAGTGTAGTTACTTCCTTTGTGTCATTGAGTAGCCATGTGGTAGTGTGATTAGGGTGCTTGGTGTGGTTTGAGGCCGTTCTTGTGTATAGAAGGGTACAATGAATTTGTTTCTGAGCCCTATGTAAACTGATGAACTGGTTTTCTTCTTGGTGCTGTTAATTACTGATTTGTGCTTCTGTCATTCATTAATTCCCTTACAAGTGGTATCAGAGAGTGAGTAAGGCTTTCTTGAGTCCTCGATCGTGTGATTATCCCCTGGAAAATCAATTTCCAGTGGACATACTTGGATCGATCTGAAATCGTAGAAACCCTAACCCTAATTATTATTATTATTCATTTTCTGATCCGACCACTAATCCTTTCTCTGTTTGTGTTTCCGGTGAACTGATTGGACGATTGGACTGCTAGTTAGATGCCTGCAGAGTCTCCAATCGATTCTTCTTGGTGCATGTTCTTTGAACCAGCTTAGTGAGCTTTCATAACCCCCTGATTTCTTATGTTTCTTGATTATGTTATTACTATATCTTGAATGCTGTGAATTCTCCCCGATTTCCCATCTGTTTTGTGTCCCTCTGGTGTTAGGATTGAGCCTTGACCTGAGATCTTGAGCCTCATGGAATCCTATTGAATCCTAATACATGTAGTTCTGTTTTTGGATCATAATCAGTTTGATACACTGTAGTAGTATTCTTTGTGAATTTTTGTGATTAGAGGCATGATTATTCTCACTGCTTATTCTCTGTGATTCTTTGGGTTTATTAATCTGCCTGTTATCACTGTTATTTGTTATTCACTGGTTGATAAATCTGTTTTCAGTATGATGTTTTCATTCCTGGTTTGTTTACACTGTGATTTGTGTGACTTTTAAATTGGTTGTTTGAAATATCTGTTTACCGTTTTTCTATGGAACTATAATCTCAAAAATTCTTTGTGTTGATTAAAAACTTCAAATGACAATGACACCATTTGAACTTGAAGTTTTTAATGGAAAAGGGGATTGCTCCATTTGGCGGCAAAAAATGAGAGGGGTCTTAGTTCAACAGAAAGTTTCTAAAGTTATAACTGGTGAATTTCCTGCTACTATGACTGATGATCAAAAACTTGAATCTGATGAACTTGTTCATACTTCTATAATTCTTCATTTGTCTGATCAAGTGTTGAGGAAAATTGGTAAATTTGATAATGCTAAGGCTTTGTGGGAGAAGTTAGAAGAGTAATACATGTCTAAAAATCTGCCTAATAAACTCTTCCTTTTACAGAGGTTCTTTAGCTTTAAGATTGTTATGTCTAAAGACTTGGATGATAATTTTGATACTTTTAATAAATTAGTTCAAGATATCGCTAATACTGGGGAGAAGGTGTCTGAGGAATATAAGGCTGTTATCCTCTTGAACGCTATACCTGATGTGTATAATGATGTTAAGTCTGCTATTAAGTATGATAAAGATACCTTAACTCCGGACATAGTGATCAATTCTTTAAGAAGTAATGAAGGTTGATAGAACTGGGAAGGAGTTTGAGAGTTTGTCTATGAGAGGTAGACCTATGGCTAGACAAGTAAATTGTCAGAGTTATCAAGGGAGCAATCATAATAATTCAAAGAAGAAGGGGAAATGGAGTTCTAGATCTAAGTCTAGGAGTGGAATTAGGAAGTGCTATGGGTGTGGAGAGACATGACATTTTATAAAAGACTATTATAAAGAGAATGAGCAGAGAGAGATGAGAGTGGATGAGGGGAATGTTGTTGAACCCCTAGATAAGAGGACTGTTGATGTGTATGTGGTGACAAACCCTCTCTTGATGTGAATATTGTTGACTATGTGGATGGCAGTGGTCAGGATAGTGAGTGGATTATGGATTTGAGGTGTACATTCCATATGACCACTAAAAGACCTTGGTTAGAGAACTTTAAGGATCTTGATGGTGAAGAGGTGGTTATGGGTGACAATGTAGCTTGTAGCATTAAAGGAATTTGCAATGTGATTTTGAAGTTTGACAATGGATGTACTTTTACTTTAGAAAAAGTAAGGTATATTCCTGATTTGAATAGGAACTTGATTTTTATGGGTAATCTAGATGACATAGGCCTGCAAGGCCGGATTGGTAATGAATCTTTGAAAGTAATTAAGGGTTCGTTAGTTATTTTCAAAGGTACCAAGAGAAATGATATATATGTAACTAGAGCCAGTGTAGTTCAGAGTTACATTGCTGAGTCCTCTAATACTGAGATTGATGCTAATCTGAAGTGGCATAATAGGCTAGCTCATGTGAGTGGAAAGGACTTATATATTTTGAGTAAGAGAGGGGCATTTGGTAAAAGTGTAACCTTTAATGAAGGTGATATGCCTTGTTTGAGTAAGAGAGTCTCTAGTGATGATCCTAAGAGTGATGAGGATGAGGATACTATAATGCAAGTGAGTTTGGATAATTCTCCTGGACTTGTTGAGGAGGAACAAGTTGAGAATGAGGTTGAGGGGGAGAATGATGGTGTCATTGGTTCTCATGAACCTGTTGAAGGTGGTGAACATGACTTAGTAGGTGATGTGGTTGATCTTCTAAGTGATTATCAACTTGCTCGTGATAGAGTTAGGAAGGAGATTGGGGAACTCGTGAGGATGGGTGATTATCAATCCTTTGTCGTTTTGTCTTATCAAGACTTAGTTTATAAGGAGTATAAATCTTATGAGGAAGTTTTGAGTTGTCGACAATCTAATGAGTGGCTAGGTGCTATGGAAGAAGATACGAAGCCCCTTGTGAAGGGTAATACTTGGAGATTAGTTCCCAGACCTAAGGATAAGTCCTTGGTGGACTGTAAGTGGGTTCATAGTATTAAGGATTGTAGTTCTTCTAAAGAGCCTCATAGGTTTAAGGTTAGACTTGTTGCAAAGGGGTTTACTCAGAAACCTAGTATTGTTCATTATAATATTTTCTTTCCTGTTGTGAAATATACTACTATAAGAGTCATGTTTTTTTTGATTGCTAAATATGTTTTAGAACTTGAACAAATTGATGTTATAACTGCCTTTTTGCATGATGACTTGGATGAAACAATTTGTATGATTCAACCTCAAAGTTTTATTGATTCTAAAAAGCCTAATCATGTTTGTTTGCTTAATAGATATTTGTATGGTTTGAAACAATCACATAAGTATACTATGTTTGACAATTATGTGTCTTCTATTGGCTTTGTTCATAGTGCCTTTGATCATTTTCTTTATGTTAAAAGAAATGATAAGAATAATGTGATTGTTCACTTACTTTTGTATGTTGATGATATGTTGTTGGTTGAACATAAAATGAGTGATATAAATGACTTTAAGAAGGATTTAAATGCTGAATTTGAAATGAATATTTTGCCTCTTGCTTGTCATTTTAAATTGAATAAAGAACAATGTCCACAAGATAAATCTGATATTAAATACATACAAAAGGTGCCTTATGCTAATGCTTTTGGATATGTTAGGTATACTATGGTGTGCACTTGTCTTGATGTTGCATATGCTATTAGCATTTTGAGTAGATTTATGGCAAAACATGGTCTTGTACATTGGGCTGCATTAAAATGATTTTTTAAAAAGATTTTGAAAAGGTTCTGCAGATTTAGAATTGCATTTTAAATTTTGTAAAGAGGGTGTTGTGTTGAAAGGGTATGTAGATTCTGATTATACTAGTAATAAGGACAATAGGAAATCTATAACTGCATATGTGTTTACTTTGTGTGATACTTGCATTAGTTGGAAGTCTCAATTGTAGTTTATTATTGTCTTATCTACTACTGAAGCTATAAAAGAGTCTTTGTGACTTAAAAGCTTGTTATGTGAATCT